AAAAAAAAAAAGTACATTGATTCTGAACTCTTATTTGCTTGTAGCTTGTTGTTAGCTGGACAGCTGCCACTTTCTATTTTGTCCCTCAACTTAAAATACTCCATGATTCTTCTAAAGTGAGCAGGTAAGGCATTTCAGAATGTGAAGGAGAGCAAAAAGTCACCTGCCACCCTACCTCCCAGAGACACAGAGCTGCTAGTAGCCGATGTTAAGATAAGAAATGCAAGAAAGCACCTACTCTGCAATCCTTTAAAGTAAATCTGTTACTGGTAGGAAAGTGATACAGCACGATGGTTACAAATAAATGGTACAATAAGCGCTTTATTTCTGATTGCCTTCACTTTGAAGATGCCTGCAGTTGCCTTTGTCACTGGTAGAAGTCAATGTAAATTAGCAAGATAGACAGCTTGGTTCTCTCTCATGTCTAGGCTACCCAAAAGGTAAGCAAAACAGCAATTACATCAACTGAAATAGTAATTACATCAACTGAAAGACCAGAACAGAAGCGTAAGGACTGCACAAATCAAGCAGCAAACTGTTTGAACACTGAAATGTCATACTCTGCCCTGTCAAGTCAGAGACAAGTTTGATCCTGCCTGGCAGATAAAGACAAAACCAGCGAGATTAACAAAACATTGACAAAAACAATTAAAAAGCTTGGTAAACTTCCCATTACAACTATGCAAATAGCCACAGACTATGAAAACAAGCATTCAGGAGGCCTAGAAAAGTAACATTTTATTACATGGTGCCACAACAACAGTGGTGTATTTAGAGAGGAATGAACTATTAAAACAAAATCTCTTTGATAAAATCTGATCAGGTATAACACTATCCAAAATCCCCTAACCAGAAACTTTCTCCTAGAAATTCCATTTGGCTGCCCATTCAAAATGTGTCCGTGGCCTTGCTCTTTAGTTTCCAAAGACCATTTTAAAGAACACAAACCCGCCCAAAGCCTGCAATTAAGTATTAACTAGCGTCACTGAAAGCGTCAGTCACTCTCGCAGACGCTCTTGAGGAAGCACAGAGCAGATGACAAGGTGTTCACTTTCAGATTAGGGCTAAGAAAACACGCGAACAGATTTTCACTCCCATGGGTATATGTTTCCTTCAATGTCCATATACGGGGGGAAAAAAATCTAGGTATGGATTTCCTTCATGTCATTATATACTTCTCTCTTTCCTTCTGTTTTCCTTTGCTCACCAAGCCTGCTGTTTTACTGAGGCTGTTCGCATTCTCAAGCACAACCTCCCTATACCAATCCATCACATCCAGACGCTTGCATGTGCCTCGAGCACAGACAGAAGGTCATATGAAACTACTGGAAAATAAGCAAAACATGATTTAGATTCCTTGTTTCCCAGGAGCTCCCACACAGAGCCGGAGCTCTGGGAATGTCCCAGGGCATTCTGCTCCAGAGACACTGATGCTTAAAACCTGTGATTCCCAAAGCTAAAGGTTCTCTCCAAAATGACAGACCTTGGAGAATATAAGCTACCATGTTTACAGGTGACAGCATGTTTATTTCCAACAGAAGAGTTCTGGTGTCACACAGATTCGGTTTCTATAGGAATCTCAAACCAAATCACTGCTAGAATTTTTTTGCAATAATTGTTTGCATTTTTCTAGCTAGTACTAGTAACAAAATTAGATTGATTATGTGTACATAGGAGACATTGAAATAAGAAACACTCTACACATCATTTTATTTCTAGACACACTTTCTAGGTTGTACGCATTAGTTTCCTTATAAATGGTCAAGAGTTTTGCTTTGCTCAGGATTATGCAATAGGAACCAAAAGTCTTTTCCCAAAACACACTTAAATGGTACGGTGGGCTTACCCAAAATCAATTCTTCTGAAGAGGCCATGGCTCAACGGAGATTTACACATCAAAGAAAAATAAGTATGTACATCTCCACAAATCCACGTGGGGTTTTTTACCCCCACATCAGAAGAAATACCACAAATTACAATTTGTCTCACAGCATCTCTTCATTAAAGTTCCTGAGTGGCTAAAAGAAAAAAACCAACCACCTTGAAGATTGCAAAGTCTCTGTGGAAGTGTGGCAGCCTCCCCAGATATGCCTGAACCCTGCTTTTAACAGTGGCCGCCTACTCCCAAGATCAGTCAACCCTAGAATTAGTTGCAAGCTCCAAGGCTGGGATGATGCCGGCTCTGTCCCAAAACCAGTCCTTGGCCTGTACTGACCCACGTGGTAGGCAAGCACCCCGTTGGTGATCAGTCTGGGCTTGGCTGCATCAGGAACATAGGGTCACCCTGCGAGCTCACCTCATGGTCTATAAACCAGCATTCAAGTCCCAGCTCCATGTTTGCAGAGTGAACAACTGGACTGGCATGAATCCTTAGGCTACAGCACAAGGCACTATACATTAAAGGGGACGAAAGGTTATTTAGGCTTGTCAGAGATGGCGTAAGGCAGCCTACGTAGCCCTTATTTTAGACACCTACAATATTTTAAAAGTATCTTTTAAAGATGGTGAGAAATTTACCAATTTTAGCAGGGACAAAAGTGACACCCTTGATTCTGCAGTTATCATAAGCGTTTACAAACAGGTGGGAAGGGAAGCAAGGTCACCATAAAGTAAGATCATTTTATATTTCTACAGTTTAGAAAGATAACACTGTATCTGTAAATAAAACCATAACAAAGATCATTTCACAATCCTGTATTTTTTAAAAGATATGCTGTCCACTTAGAAGGTATAAGACGACAAAATTTTCATACATAAGCAATAATAAATAAAAGAAGATTTGTGGAGAGATCATATCTGTCCAAGACAAATTAGTCTTACACTTTTCCTGACTTTGCACTCTATCCAAACTTGCAAGTAAAATCTATTACTATCACAGTCGAGATCTCCTGACATAATTTAAAAGTGAACATTTTCTTGCTTCAAACTACTGCTCTTAAAGTGGATTTCTGGTGTTTGGACTCTAGAAGTTCTTGCTCTGAGATGGCAGCCTGACCATACAGTTATTGTCATTAGTGATGAATGATGTTTATGAAACATTTTTCTACCAAGTTAAGACTCTCATAATACATACAACAATAACTTTTGATGATTTCTGTTCTGGAAGAAAAATCCCTCAAGTGAGATAGTAATATATTTATCTCCACATTTTTCTATGTACTTGATTCAACATGTAACCAAGTCGATAGTACTGACTTTCAGAATGTCAGACCAACTGTAACTCCCAGATTTCATTTTTAAAATCCTCCATCGTACGACAGCAAATTTTATGCAGCCGAATAAAGTTAGCAGAGCAGAAAGTTCTTTTAGCAAGCAACTGTGTTAATTTAGCAATTGTGCTTGCTAAACAAAACTGTGAAGAAAGAAACCTGAATATAGCCAGAGTTCATATCCAAGGGGGCCAAGAACTACCAGAAGCTCAATCGATCTGATTAATTGGCTGTTTGCATTTCACTCAACATATCTGGAAAAGTTACAGTTTAAGTGTGAAGGCAAAAAAAATAATCAGAACAAAATAACTTCCAGAACTCTTTCCACACATAATTTCCTTTAACCTAAAAGCTAACACTACAGGAAGATGCATGAATTTATGGCCATGTTTAGGCACACATCCAACTGATGATCACTCAAGGCAGTCTCCTGAATATGTGACTGCAAAGTCAGGTGGCAACCCCACAACACACTGGAAACACTTCTCTATCCCAGCATCATGCAGAGAAGAGGAACAGCTGGCTTTAAGCTCACAAGATACCTTAATTCCAGCTGTACCACCCACACCTGTGATCAAAGTCTTGCCCTGCTATGGACAGGGCTTAACCATATTCCATTACTCTCAATAATTCTGCCCAGGCCCAAATAATATGGGTCGTGTCTCTATAACCATAATGCAAGGCCTTTGCAGCCTTTGCAATATGCACCCCTGTAGAGGAGTTACAGAATCGGAATGAAAGTCAGAATAAGAGACTGTACCTACTTCCCAGCCTTCTATTCCTAAATTTAGACTTGGAATATACACTGAAGGGGGCCTATGGGAAAGATGGTGAGGGACTGTTTATCAGGGAGTGTAGTGACAGGACAAGGGGTAATGGCTTCAAGCTGAAGGAGGGTCGATTTACATTAGATGTTAGAAAGAAATTCTTTACTGTTAGAGTGGTGAGGCACTGGAACAGGTTGCCCAGAGAGGTTGTAGATGCCCCATCCCTGGAAGCGTTCAAGGCCAGGTTGGATGAGGCTTTGGGCAATGTGGTCTACTGGCCAGTGTCCCTGCCCGCAGCAGGGGGGTTGGAACTAGATGATCTTTAAGGGCCCTTCCAACCCAAACCATTCTATGATTCTATGATCATAGGCAAATCTATGATCTATGATATCTATTTGCCTATGATCATAGGCAAATTGTATTTTGCAATAGTATATGTCTCCATATATGCTATATATTTTAGCCTTAAAATTTGCATTACATATTTGTGGCACTGCCCCCTTAGGCTCATTTCCACCCAGCACAGAGGAGAGGACACCAAGCTTTCCTTTTCCTACAGTTACCGTTCAGACATATCCAATATGTTTCTGCATTCATCGTGAGGGTTTTTCATTTTTTGCATTGTGCAAAGAGAAATTAAGAGTTTCAGATATCAAAAGCAACACTATATGACTCAAACATTTCTAACACCTAGAGACTTTCACAAGGCAATCTGGACTTTGAAAGAAACAGATTTCCTCGAAAACAGACTACTTACTTTACAATGCAGTAATAAAGGCTGCTGCTAACCATTACAGGAAAATGTTCTAAAATGCACACACCACGATCTAAATACATGAAACAGAAAGAGTAACTCATCTTGACTTCTCTTTAAAATAAGAATGATCTAATGAAAATTCATTTTGGAGGAGCCATGGTGTGATTTTTGTTTGCTTTAATCCACGCAGACCTTTTGATGAGAGACACAGCTGGTACCATCTGTTTCAGGACAGAATGAAAACTAAAACTTCTTCACTGTACTTACATGTGAGGACTGAGTTCATAAAAGTTTCGGTTTCTGTATTCTTCCACTTTCTCTGGAGTATAAATGGGTAGAGATCTGTAGGGGTTTATTGATATCACCACACTGCCAATGTATGTCTGTTGAAGGAAGACAAAATATCATTAATTTTTCTTTCTAACATATTTTTGCTGCTTATATATTATTCTCCCATTTAATACTTACGCAAAAAACAAACAAACAAACAAAAAGCCTACTTGTAGCAATGAATAAATATTTACATACCCTCTGAAACACCTTTTGGATCTCTCCCAACAATCACTGTTGAGTACCCAGTTGCTATTTCTACATAACTGAAAGCCTCTTACGAACGTTTTTTAAAATAAAGCCCAGTCGTACAATATTTCTGTGACTAGTTCCGTTGGAGGAGGGAAAGGGAAAAGGACACAGATGTTCACGAAGAAGCAACTCTGTCTGCATGGCAAATGTCACGCGAGCTTTGCCGCAGCCCTTGTACACTCATACAAAACCAAGTAAAGGCAAAGCCGGAGCTGGACTGCGCTCCCTCACCCGAGGAGGAGCTCCGTGCCATCTCTCCAAAGCCTTGGGCACAGAAGAGCTTCACCGGGAAGAAACCTGAAGGCTAATAGCCTCTGACAGGTTTCTGTCAACAGAGACATTTACTGTCAGGATTCAAGTCAGTCGAAGTCCTACTGTGGTTCCTCAGACGTGAAGCGTAATTTTTATTTCCAGATTCTTAAAATACTTACCATTACCCTTGAAAAGCAGATGGAGCGATGTGTTGTTTTACTCTGTTAGGTCCCATTCACCACTAAGCTGAATAAAGACTGATACTGTAGACCCTCATTACCACATCAGCACATGACACAATTAAGCTGCCTTCGTCAAACCCACTGCTGGATGCCCCACAGCTCCCTACACCTCCCTCCACCTGCAAGGGCTGCACTCAAATACACCTGAGTAGTAAGAAACGCCACAAACCCATCCCACCCTGCCTGCAGATACTGATCAAAGATTAATTAAACCCCAAGAGTTTAGTTTCTCTTTCCACAACCATGAAATAAATAAATAACACCTGGTGAAACACAGTCTTCCAATTTGAATTATACTTGCTAATAACTACTGAAGAAAAACAATGTTTTGTTCCATAGACGTATGATTTTTAAATGACACCTTAGCGCCTGGTAATCACTGCTTGGATTTATCCCCACAATTTTCCTTACAGGGAAGTGCTAAAATATGAATTTTAAAATGGGAACAGAGGCAACAAGAAGCCCAAGTTACTCACCAACAGGTTCGGTAGAGCACCAAATTACCTCCAGAGCTGCAGTCACAAATTAACAATACTAAGGGCTGCAACCCTTCCCTATCTTCCACCTCTAAAGCAACTTTCTGCTAAATGCTAAACAAATTTGGTCCTAGGCAGAAAGCCAGGAGAGCAAGATTTCCCATCTTCCATAGCATGCATACACATAGGCAAGCTGTGAACTCACATGGTATTTTCTGTCCCATTTAAACCAGAGTTGAACAAATTAGACTTCAGTGATAAAACAAATAGTATGAGGCTTCCAGAGACTCTCGTAGTTCATCCTTGCAGTGTTTACTACCCATAGGATGAAACAGAAGCAGCCACTGCTGACAACTCATCATACAACTGCTGCTGCGATGAAACACAATACTTCAGCAACTGGGCTCAAGACTCATCCTTTCTAAACATGCATGCTTTCTCCTCTCCTTTGGAACTGGCCAGAAACTTTCTGCAAAACATTTCCCCCTGTGCATTCAAGCCCAGAACAGACCCAATACCCTCAAAATGGGCTGGTTTCACACCAAGAGTCTATCCAGAGTGCTACGAGGGGGAGCAAGCCTGAAGGTGCGAGCCTCGGCAGCCAGGCTGCAACTTAAGAGGAATAACTCCAATCTGCCCCACACCACAACTTGAGGGAAGCACCCCCAAAGGCATTCAGATACAGACTGTTGAGAAAATCCCAAATAATTAAGATTTTTGCTTCTTTGAAACACACATTGCAGTGCGTGCTTATATATATTCAAACAAAAAAAAAGTTCTAGTTTTGTGGTCATCCTCCCCCTAAGGAAGAAAGTGTTTTCCTTCTATGTCCAATCTCTTGGGCTGAACAAGAAGAAAATGCAAAAATTGCCTTTCTACAGTGTTTACTTTGCGCTCTCAACACACATACGTGGCTTTGGCAGTTTGCAAGCCTACAGATTCTTGGCGAGAATAAAAGCTACCCAAGAGTAAGAAGCTTTCTAAGTCTTCACAAGTGCGTGCATACCCCAGTTAGGACTCTTTCCTGATAAAATATTAATATGTTAACTTGTTTCCTCCTAAATCTCAAGAATTTGTGAATTCAGCCTATTGTGAAATCAGTGCTGGAAAGTATCAGCAGGAGAGAGATGAAGGCCAGATCTTGAAGACTGTATTTTGAAACAGGAATTCTTTGGAACTTGAAGACTTGCCCTTTTCAGCTATTCTGCTACCATAATAGCATACAATTTAATTGCTAAGTTCCTTGAAGTACCCTGACGTGCCAAGGTAAAGAAAGATGAGTGAAAGTGAAAACTCTGATTTTTAATTTTGAATACAGGCATTTGACTAGATTTATTTAGAACCATCTCTTCATAGCTAAGTATTGCTTAGGCAATGTATTTTGGGCATTCAAGTCAGCTGTTTATTGTCAGACATGAACAAATACAAACCATTTCCTAAAATACCAATATTTCAAAAGGGCAAATGTCTATATAGAAACAAAGACATGCTCATGTCCATTTTAAACACCAAGCCAAAGCATGCCAAGAAATCATTGGTTTTGCTGCAAAGCTCATTACAAGAACTAATACATTTCCTCTTCTAAAAATGCCGCTACGTCAAAGCTGATGCCTAATAGCTACTTGCTACTGGTGGTCTGTGAGATTCCACATAACGGGGATAAGCAGATCCGGAAAATAGCTTTCCCACATAACATCTGCCTTCCCACCAGAACTCTATCATAAACAAACAAAATAAATGGCTTAAATCTTTGAGCAAGCGACGAGCACAGAAACATTCCAGTGCTGAAAGCAGAACGCCCAAGAGTAGTGGGAGACCATACCGTGGCACTCCAGGGACTAAAGAGATCCTTCATTTTCCTTGTTTAAGGAAAAAATGAAACCCCAGAGGAATAGCCTCGTGATGATGAACGCACAGAATGTGGTCAGGAGATCCGATTTCTTTCTTGGCTTTGACATAGTCTTGTTATGCGAGTTTGGACAAGATCTGCTGTCTCCTCAAGTTTTGCTAACTAGAGACTCTTGATAATACTCCTTCCTCCAAATTTCTACTTTATTGTAACAACTCACAAAGGCAAATTCTGCCTCCTTGGCGTGTTTGTCCAGAACCCAAACCAAAAGGACTCTCACTTGTCGTTTATCAGTGCGTCTGTCATGTAGCACAGCAACACTGTAATGCACTAACGTTTCATCTGCAGAAAAGAGCAAATATCCATCAGGTCAAATGACAATATATTCTGCATTCTCCATCAAAACAATGCAGACAACTCATTCCTCTTCAGTAAAGAGTTTAAGATCCTGAGTCGGCAGAAAATTCTAAATCACAACTCAACTGGAAAAGCCAATAATATTTGTTACATCACTTTGAAGAACTGTTGGAGATGCAACAAGCAAGACACTTTGATGCCTGAAAGTCAACATAACCACTTGGGGCAAGGTGGTACTACTGCTTCAAGCTCATATCCGCCTTGCAAGGCTTTCTGTGCCTTTCTAACCCAAACAGCTTTAAGACTGGCTTCAGAAGAGGCCTGAAATAGCAAGACAATACAAGGCTCCCATTGCTCGGGAGAAACCTACAGGCAGCAGCCTCTTCCCAGCCAAGGCCTGTGGAAAGCTATTGCTAGAAACTGGCAAACTGCCTGAAACGCCTGTGGACCTTTTCAGCCGAGAGGTTGCAAAAACCTTATAGAGAGCCCAGCAAAAGGTCCCCAAACACCTCTGCAGCCAGGATGCACAAGCACTGCGGTGAAATCTGATACACAGGGAAGAGGCAGTACAGACCAATTCAAGAAGGGGAGCTTTTAGAATACCACTAGTAGAGCTTATGGGAGAATATTTCACACCCTGGGATACAGTATATTAATAAAGTTATTTTTACTCCTTGCAAAGTTAGTCTTGCAATATCCCAAGGGCCCAGAAGAGAGAAGATTGCAGCTGCAGAAGCCAAGGAATGTTAGTGACAGCAGTTGAGGCTGCAGCACAGGAGCTGCAGAGCTGGGGCTACTGTAACAGCCTGCTTCGCGTCTTTAAAAGCTTTTCTGGATCCGTGGCATCCTCTGCAAAGCAACCCTCTGTTTTAAAGATCATTAAAATCATTTAAAATCAAAACTTCTGAGTTTAAAATCATTAAGCATCTACACAGATTTGCTGAAAACCTTCTGGAAGCATACTCCACATCACTTTTGTCAGCTCTATTAAAAACAAACTTCTTACCCGTGGTAGCCTCTAACAAGTCCAGAAAAATTGCTGCTGCCCACAAGTCGCTCCTGCTGTAAAATTCCCAACTGCTAATGTACCCTGCAAGTGTGCTAAATTCCCAGGGCCCAGCAAAGTTCTTCTGTTTATTTATTTTTTAAATGCTGGAGCACAGAAACAAAAAACAAAGAAATTTTAGTAAAATGAGATCACTAGGGTGGATACCAATTCTCCATTTATGCAGACCAATTTTAATACTCCAGATATGCATAATGCATACTTTAGTATTGATTATGCTTGAGTGTACTAGGTTCCTATGACTCCGAAGAGTTTCAGATCACGCTTTCAAAAGAAGTCATTGAAATGAGAGACATTAAAGAAATAAGATCAAAGAGAAGTGTGACTAGATTTTATTGGAACAAATCCGGAACCAAAGCTTGGGCAGCAGTTTTCTTTGCAAGGGGATGGGGGGGGAAGGTGGTTTGAGTTTTTGGTTTTGTTTTTTAATATGATATGTGCAAAATTATATTTCTAATATAATACTCATTTTCATTTGTATTTGCCTGAACTACTGCAGTTCTGGATCTTGCCAGCTCATAAGCACATGTGTCGCTGCATGCTCAGAACAGCTGAGGCC